AAATAAGAAGCCCATACTCGAGTTACTATTGTAATTGAAAGCAACAAAGTGGAGTAACAAAATTGAATCAAATTGGAACATGGAGGATCTAATGGATGTCCGCTTGCAATATGAAAACATTGTCGAGGATTGGTTTTGGCAAATGAAACAAATGGGCTTTTCATCATTTCAGCTGTGTAGCAATATCAGATACTGAGAGACATCAGTTTCATTGAATCAATCAATGAATCCCTACTGTTCATGTATCTCCCTTCAAACTTCTCTTGTAATCACACCTTTGTTGCTCAGAAACCTAAGATATAAAGAAGAGCATTTCACTGAACAGTGCCGAGTTAATGCTTCTCTGTCAGTTAAGTTTGTAGGTGCTCACTGCTCGTGTGTGTGGGTACAATCGTGTAGGCAGGTGCAGGAACGTGTATTTCTCAACGTGTTAAAACTGAATTACACGCAGAGGTGCATGTTCCTCTCTGAGAAAGCGTGTACTACAAGACGAGGGAGGAAAAGATGGGTGGAGGTAAGGAAGGAGAGACACCATGACCTGAGGGAGAGGGAGATTATACCAGAGGATTCGGTTGTTCCAGCATGGCAGACAAGTGCCACACTCTTAGACAGGGGCTAAGTAGGAGCAAGTTGGCCCAGGTTTAGGGAGCCAGGGTGCTTAATCATCCCGCGCTTGGTCCTGGAGTTGACAAATGAGTTATGAGCGGGTGCTACAGGTAGGAGGCCCAGTCTTACCACTGCTCACCATGACCTTCGCTCTGGCCATAAATAATGCAGGGATCATAAAATACTGATTTGGGATAACTGGGCCAGCCCTACCTTGGCCTGGAATCATCTCAGCTCGGTGTGGGCTGGGAAGGCACAAGCCCACTGAGAGCTTATATTTTCAGTTTTTGCTTCAAGCTCAAAATCGAGACAACTTCTGTGACCTCTCAGACTTTTCTCTGTCTTGTGCCAGTTGGACTTAGCCCTGTCCGGGTCTCAGCCACTATTTGATGTTTATCTTTCCCTGCCTGTCTAAATCCATCGCTACATCTGTCTCCTAAGTGATCTGACACATCGAATCATGCCCGGCTGCATTAGCCGCCTGATGTGCGCTCTCTCGGGATAGATCTTGGCTGTTTTTTTACATCTGCGCTCCACATCCTGACGTAGGCTTGGTTGACATTTCATTCCCGTGTCAGGTGTATGCTGCTGAAGCACGTGGCAGCAATCTGGCTATTACGAGTCATGTCACTCATGTGCTTCGGTCCCCGTTGATGTAGGTCCCTTTGGATTATGTTACACACAGGTAAACTGATGCGGAATGGAGGAAAACATCTGGAGTTTGAGGCTGCTCTGGTAGTTACACATTCTTCTTTCCACATATTTTAGGAAGCAAAAGGATCATCCTAGACTTTGTGAAAAAAACAGTTTATTTGGATGTGACACTTGAACTTGGCCTTAAATTCAGAACTGCTACCCTACACGGCTGTCTGCTGTAGAGGCACAAACATACAGTGCTAATAAGGGGCACAGTAATGATGTGGCAGATGTTTGCAGACTCTCTGATGCCCTGATTACCGGAGGAATGTTTGTGAGCTGCCTGTGAAAAAGAAATGCTGCAGTGACAGAGGTTGTGATGGAGAAACCTTAAGCTTTTTTCTGATGAGATGAGAAGAGACGAGTTGGAACATTGCCATATTAACAATGACAACGTTCTCAAAATAGACTCACAGGTTTCATTTTCCAGTAGTTGTCAAGCTTTTGCATGTCATTCTTAGTTCTGTTATATGAGATTTTTTGTGTGGGTAAAGGGCTCTAAAGTTAAAAAACTCCATAGTCCGCAATTTATCGAACTCTATCCTGAAACACCTTAGCAGTCGTCTGGCGAATACTTCCAGGGTATCATCAAATTTTTTGAACATTTCCTACATGCACTGACACAGAATGGAGGAAAGCATTTGGATTTTGAGATTGTTCCAGCAGATCCAGATTCATTCTTCTTTCCACTTTTGCAAAACATGATGAAGTAAAATAAAAACCACAATAAATAACCTGATAAACAATTAGCCTATCATTAAATCCATAAAGTTAAAAAACCCAAAGTCCAGAAGTGGTTGACAAATCACAACAAAGTGAGCCAGTTGGCCAATCAGAGAAGACTGGGCTTTATCAGGAGGGGGGCCTTAAAGAAATAAGAGCTAAAACCAAGTGTTTCTGACAGAGGCTGAAAAGAAGAGCTGCAGCAATGGACAGTTTTAGGAAAGTGATGAGTTTTCTGAACATTAGAAACTGTAAGTCATTTCTAAACCAACGTTCGACTCAAACCATGGAATTTCATTCTATTGTTTTGTGACAGAATACAATGTATTTCATGAAATCTGCACAGAGGTGAATCTAGGTTAACCTTCCACCTTTGGACTTCTCACCTCTGCTTCACACCGTCGCATTATAAGTAAGCTCGATTGATTAATCAGCTATAATTTCATCATCTAATTTCAACGAGAGAGGACTTATTGTAATTAAGAGATTCATTAATTTAGTTCATTAATTTCACGACAGGATTCTCAGGAGGATTTCAAGTCAATTCTGATGCCTATTATTTAAAATCAGATCAGTTGAAGGGCGGTTCCTGTCTGGTTTCATCCTCTGGTCGAGTAGATTCGCCAAAAGTCAGTAAAGTAAAAAATAGAAATGTATATTATATGGCTGGTTTGGCTTCAAGTTGCAACAGCTGCATATTATAAACCTCTAAATTTAATGAATGCAGAACCCATGAGTGTTTGCATTGAGGACGGACTGCGGTGTTTTTCCCTAGTGTTCCAATCAGACTCCTCTCAGCAGCCTGCTTAGCTCTGAGCCGACCATTGCTCATAATTTCACTGCATTTGCTGCCTATTGCAGCTCAGGTCTACTGCCAGCCCTCCAGTCATATATGCTAGCTGTCAGCTTGACACTTCGTCAGGTTGATGTATGCAGGATGCTCTCTATCTGTACCACGACATTACACATCCCCTCCAATATGACACATTTGACAGACATTCCCCCCTATTAAGGCTATGGTATCACCACAGCTTGTTATCACTGCATACTGAGTACACAGAGTTCCATGGGCGCTGAACGCTCAGTGTGTAGGATACAGTCGAGTCGAGTGTGCAGCAGCAGCAGCAGGGTAGTTTTCCTGCTCACTTCTTTGGATAAGCCTCATGATCGTCATACGTGCTCGGTGAATAGTCAAGAGAGTCTCAAGGCATTGTGATGGATGTGAAATGTTGGAAAGACATTGTAGGACAAAGTGTTGGCCCACACCGTTGATCACTCATGCGGAGCAGAGTCTCTCTCTCTCTCCATCTCTCTCGCCACCAGCAGGCAGCAAGTTTATCAGTGTTGCCCAGAATATTTAACAGGGAGGGAAGCACACCCGTGGGATCTCATTTGCACAGGTGTCCATCTGGTAGAAGTTGTCTGGGATAATCTCCACATCATGTCACATTTGCATCCGCAGCTTCATGAAAACAGCACACTTACTGTAAGATGAGCACATGGCGCTGGCCAGTTCGAAGGGTGAGGGATTGTTCGCCGACACTGTAGCGAAGACCAGTGTGAGTTGTACTAATCCACAAAGCAGCTAATGCTGCGCAATTATGTACGGATTTACCATGTTTGTAATTGTTTGTTGGTTCAGCTCAATTTGTGTAACCAGCTTTATTTGGAAAATTAGCAATGAGATTTTCCTAAACGCTGCCAATTTGTTTGGTCTTTTAACCAGGAGGGAATTACTGCACTCAGTCCACAGTACTTGTCAATTGTTGACAGTCTTATTAGCCAGTTTGGGCAAAGAAAAGTAGCTCTTATTAAATCCATTGATCATCAAGGACCTATACTTGTTGCCCTCCTTCAAATAGCACAACATTCACAGCCAGCCAATCAATGTGTTCATTGATCCCCATGTTCTGTTAAGAATTATTCAAGCAGCAGATCCAATCTTCAAATCTCTGTCCCATTAACGACCCAAACGGGATCACTGTAAACGCCGAGCGGCTGTATCTGCCTCTCATGTGGCTGAGGAGCATCGCTCCGCTGGGCACGACTAGATCTGATCAGCAGCATTTAAAGCTTCAAGACAAAAGCTCTCAATAGAGGAGCAAAACAAATCACTGAAATGACTCTCCAGTACCAAGCAGGAGGAATATGTAATGTTCATTCCCTCATGGATGAATACTCATCAGTATCTGTGAGCCCAGGCAAGCATGTAGTCTCCAAACATTACAAGTAATCTTGCATTTTACGCCTCCCTTCCCCTGCGTTATAAATTCTCTTCTTTATGTATATGACCTGAGCAGTTACAGTACATCAATTGTAGCAAGTAATTTTCTGCTAGCTCGCACTGTATCTGCTTAACACGTGAAAACAAAAGGCTTGATCAATCTTCAAGTTCTGTTGACATTCAGAGCTGTCGCTCCACATTACTAAGTGTGTCCCTGCCTCACGTCCACACATATACACCATCCCTATGCTGTGTGTGTGTATATACTGTAAATGTGTATCTATGTATGAGTGTTTGTGTTTTTCTGCTTTCGCAATGTGATTATCATCAGATTCCCATTAAAAGTTTAAAGAGGTTGTCTCATTGCGCATTTGCTGGATTCATATTTGAATGGATGAGAAAACATTGTAATAATCTGTAATCGTCAAGATTAAGGATCATATTAGAGACAATAATTTCACATTCAGATTCAAGGAAGGTGTTTCAACCCAGAAACAAAGTTTTACATAAATTGTGAAAATGAATAATTGCTTTTCACAGAAAGGTCTTCTATCTACCTCCGCTGCATTTAATGATTCGCATGAAATCCGAGCAATGAGCGCTGTGGAGGTTTTGAGTGCACGTTCTCTGAGCTCTTTGGGGACAGAGAGGGGCTGCCGGCAGCTTTATGTCTGCGGCACCTGGAAAGACTTCAATATGATAAAACCTCATTTATTTCTCAGACTGATTCATTAACTTTGTATTTTGGCAGGAACTCCACGTACTGCATGAAGGTGTCCATGTCTCTCACGGTGGCGGAGAATGACACAGACCTCTGCTACAACTCCAAAATGAGGTTCTTTGAGAAGGCAGAACTGAGCAAAAGCAAAGACATCACCTGCCCGGGCATTGAGGATTACACACAGCCGGGAGTGGAGCCTGAGATTGTGTGGTACAAGGTGAGCTGCACCTTTTTTTTCTGTGTTTGGTCAGATGATATTTGTTTTATTTGTTTGGTGAAGAATGATGGGTTATAAATAGTAGCCATATTGAATAATTAGAGAATAATGTTGTTATCTTATGGGAATGAGGTGTAATGAGAAGAAAGTAATTATGTTACTGGAAAAAAAAACATGAATTTAGTTTTAGAAAAAAGTCATAATATTACCGGAATAAAGTCTGAGTTTATTTACGGGTATGAATATTAAATTATAATTTTAATAAGGAAACAATTTGATATTTTGAGAAAAAGAAAAATTCAAAACAAAGGGATTTGTTCTGCTAATTGAACTCTATCAAACTCAACCCCCCCAAATCCAAATGAAAATAGCAGAGTGATGAGTGGAATTCACACCTCACGTCGTCAGCTCCCACTTTGTCAGTGGGCGCTGAGTGAATTCAAGGAGGACCTGTCTCGCCCCAGTTTCCGTCGCCTTGGGTGTGCTGTGGCCCAAAATGTGAAAAAGCTCAACTGCTTCTGGAAGTCTCCGTTCACTCACCACCGACATAGTAGTAGAAAGAGCTGTGGGAATATACAAGAAGAGTCCTCAATTCTTTATACCTTTCATTGTTATATATTTTACCGCATCCTCTGGGCAACACTTTGGAACATTAAATATCATCGCAGGAAAGGCCAACATTGATTCATCCATTTGGAAAATGTGCATACTACTTGTAATAGCTTATTACACAAGTTTATTTGGAATACTATAGATTGTTTATAAAGATGGGCGACAAGTCTCCGTTTCCTCTCACTGTGCAGAAATGAGGCGAAGATATCCTGGGTACAAACGATCTTGCACATTTGGAGTTAGAGACCTTGCTGTAGTGATCATGAGATGGAGCCACACAGTATCGAGGTTCTGTTGATTCATGCGCTTGACCAATCCCGATACAGCCTCAGCTGTCATTTTTTTTCCTTCCTGAAATATACACTTGAACAAACATCAGTGTGATATAGAAAAATGTATTGTGTAGACATTTAACTTTTTGGAAACAGTCTTATTGTCCATTTTTGTACACAGTCTATGCTTGACACTTAAATTCTGTATTCCCTTGCTTGTTTTGTCTTTCCTTTGAATAAAGGAATGCAAGCCAAAGCAGTGGAGACAAACCATAGAGAGGAGGGGGGACACTCTGTCCATCAAGGAAGTACGGGAAGATGACATTGGGAATTACACCTGTGAACTGCAGGTCGGGAATTTTGTGGTGCGGACGACTACGGAGCTCTCGGTCACAGGTAAAGAAATGTCCAACACTTCTTCAATGCTGCAAGTTGATCCACTGCAGAGTCGTCTCTGCTCGCTTTTGTCGAGGTGTTAATAATGTGGAATTCAGCGCTGGTGCTTTCTACAGATTGCTTGTTGGCTCCAGGTTGTTGTTGTTGATTACAAAAAAAAATTAGAAGCTTTTTCAACTGTCGCTGGGAGTTTGAGGCTGCTTTCATCGCTAAGTGGTGGAATTCACGACGAGTCTCTTCAGCCGTTTTTCTTAAGGCTGTTGAAACATTTAAGCCTGAACCTGAAGAGGGTGACAGATTGCTCTCCACTTACACTGTCACAGCCATGGTTGATATGGCAGTACAGGGAGCGCCCCAAATTTACAGCTTAATTATACACATTTCTTTTTGTTTTTTGGAGTTCACCTGATTAAATTAGTTCTCCTGAGTGATGTCATTACCCTACACGCTGATGCTGCCTGAAGCAGTGTATTATTGATTCTCTTCTGTGTGCCTATCCATGTGAGTACATGTAAAATATCTATCAAATAAGAACATAATAATGTAATATATCTTTTGAGGGTATTTCCAGATCGTTCACTTTTGGATCTGATTGGTCCAAAATCATGGTCATATAGTCAGAAAAGCACATAATATGTCCACCAATAATGAGGCTAGTGATTCAATCAAAAGCTTATATTGGTTAGAACATTATTACATTTTATAACAAATGGTCAAAAGAATTATTTTTTTTAAAGACACTTGTCATTTATGCTTGTAATACTTTAATTTACGGCTTACTTAGATCAACCAATCATCCATCATCATATTGACGTCATGATAGCGTGATAACTAACATTCATATTTTAATAGTCTTAGTTCAACTTAAATAAATGTTACTGCTCAATATTTTGAGTTTCTTTTGAAGGATTTGTTTACCAAGCTCTAAACAAAATGAATTTAAAGAGAGGACAATAAAATGACAAGGTCAAGTCATGCTGTCAGATTTAAACGGCTCCTAGATCACAGATCTGCTCCTTTATTAAAAGGTTCTGGTAAAAGCAGAGATCACATTTGAGTAAATATATTCCTTCCTCCATTGTTTCACCGCAGCAGCCTCTCCCCTCTCTGATTAATTTGCTCGAGCCCACCTTATCTGAGATGGCTCGTGTCTGCAAACCGTCGAACCAAACACAGCATGACAGCGTCTGAAAGAGAACAGAGAGAAGTGAAGAGGTTTCAAGTGGACGGAGGCGCTGCTACATCTCAGTGCAGCTGCCGACGCGTTTCGTTCTGTGGGTGTGAGGGTTAGACAAAGTGTTGCCTGTTAACTGCTGCCTGATTACACTTTATAGTCCCTTAAAGAGAGACTATGACTGACTCCAGAAGGCCGAGTTAAGTCATACATCATTTTCTCACCATCCTCAAAATGTCTAAAAATGTCAGCGAGGGGGGAATAGTCGTAATCTCTATCTACTTCGGAGGCATTCTGCATTTCAAAACATCGGGCCAAAGATGATTGATGGTTGGTCCGTGACAGCAACAAAAAACTGAAATACACTCTTCCACCTGTGACTCAGGGAGTTCTTGCTGATACCCAGTCGAGCTTTAGGTGTGTGTCTCTTTTTTTTTTTTTTAGCTTTTTTGAAAGACTAACAACCTGTCTGGTGAATATGGCTGTTTATATTGAGTCTTTGTTTGAGAAGTATATTGATTCTTAGGTCTGATTTCATAGCAGTAGTAGTAACGTGCAGAACCTAGCTGCATCATTTAGGATGCAAACCCAGAACTGAGTTTCACTATTAGTTGCAATATGCAATTTTTCCTTGAGGCATTAAAGTGTAACACAAGTCTCTATTGTTCTTTTTGAACACGCAGAGCGTTTATCTCAAAAAAGTGATGCCGGTGTTCTTTCTGAGTTTTGTCTTAGCTGCTTTCCTTTAAGGCATAGTTTTGGATTTAAGAAGTTTGGAATTTTTAAGCATGTCTATTTTTTTTCTTTGGTGCATTCTCATGCCAACTATCCAGGTCCTTTGATCCATCTTCTTTTTGTGTCTGCTGTCACTGCCTCTCACACATGGAACACATCTCATCCTTTAAGGGAGTCTGCTTTATGAAAGCACTTGTGTACATAGTCTTTGTCAAACCTTTCATGAACAGTGTTGAATCACTCTTCAGTCCAGTTTCATGTTTGTATTCTGATTGTGATTCCTTTATTTATTCTATGATTCATTCCACTCTACTTTTGCAAGACATTAAAGTTGTTGTTTTTTTCTTTAATTTTCATAATTATTCATGATAACAAACAGTCCAGGGTTCAGTTGTTCAGGGAATTACCCACTATTTATCCCCATTATACAGACCAGTAAAGAGAAGTGGGAAATCGAAGAAGAACATCACAAAGGAAAAACAAACCTTATGAGAAGTTAAAGCTCCGAGCAGGTGATTGCTCCACTGTGTCCTTATTTTTCTATAATCTTGTTTCATCTTTCAAATGTCCCTTACATATTTCTGCTCTGTTAATTCCATCCCCCCTTCTCTTGTACACCTTTCATTTCAAGCTACTGACTCCAGGCCTCTCTCACCGGCCTCCTTCTCCCAAATCTAACGAGGGCCCGTAAAAGGTGGCAGGTTGTTGGTGACATGTTGACATCACGTCTGCTCGACCAATCACAATTTGCAGGCATCGTCTTAACAAAGCTGAAGGTTGAATTTAGTCTTTGCCTGCTTTGCTTCAGTGGGAAAAAAGCAGTTTTCGGCGAAGAAGGCGGAGAACAGTGAAAACTGAAGCAGAACCTTTGATAATAGCTGCTCATTATGTTCCATTTCATTATATCCCTGCTGAGGAGCAGGCCTTTAAATATTCCATTTATAGATCTGTAGTTCAGACCTGACCTTTCAGCCTGTATGATTTGTTTTCTTATCTTTATTTTCTAAGTATACATGAGGCTTTATATAATATTATTATCAACCTCCCACAGATAATTCAAATTCATCATCAAATGCCTTGTCACTCCCCTCTTTATCAACAGCCTACAGGGCCTCTCAAAGCAGTGCAACGGGACAAAAGGTCAGATTCCATTTGATTATAATGTGCACTGCTAAAATCATAATGAGCTCCCTTGCTGGGTGATCGGAAGCAACGTTCAGATTAAATGAATTTTTGGGTTTTATGACTTCTTTGTAAGGTGCAGCGTTTGATGTCTTACATTAAGCACCACAGAATACAGCACGGCTGATGAAATAGATATACAGGGGAGCAGTAACTTTGCTGCGTAAAATAGACTGTCAGTGAAGCTAATGAGCTGGGACTGATGATGTTAACCTGCTTTTCTTATTCTGAACCAGCACGCAATGAGGTGTGTTTGGTTGATAAAGGGACGGGGCATGATTTGCAGTGCAAACACATAAATAACCAAAATGCCTGAGAGTGTTTTGAAACAGTCAGGAAAACATCCCATTGCATAAAATGCCTCTGCTTTCCCTTTCAAACTGAAATTTAGGCCCTAGAATCATTATGAATAGATCTGATAGTGTGGCAGCTTTATGGCGTAAAGCGATTCTCATTGCAACACAGTCTAGCACATTCCAAACCAATTTGTCTTGAGTGAACGATGGTTTCCTGCGAGATAGCACCATGCTATTTCAGTGTCTTGCTTAGCCAACTATTGGATATTATTGCACAGTGACTGGTTGGAAATGAAAGGAGCTCTTTTGCCTTCTCAGCTCAACTGCTGCTCCAGAATGTTGAGAAGACGTCCCCTCGATACATGTTTTCTGTTCTGCATTTGTAAGATAGAGGCGATTTTCTGCAAGCGTAAAAGTGCAAGTTTAGTACATGATTGTTTGTGGCTCTGTGGTAATGCAGCCTCCATTACAACTTGCTTGTCAGGTCTGCATCGAAAAGCTCCAGATGTAAATGTCATTGAGGACGATAAAACAATCTCCGTCATCTCTATCATTATATCAAGTTGTCATCTTCATCATCTGATTATTGAGCTTTTTATTGAAAGTGTCCCACATTGGAATTGCTTGCAAATATGAATAGTTCTGATTTATTTCACATTTTCACCCAGAATCCCAGTTGATGATGGCAATGACGATGTTTTTTTGTGTCTGTGTCTGCCACTTCTTATCTTGTCTCTAAAAGCTTATTTTTCATTTTCCCAATTTTGTAAAGCAGAGTTGGGTACCTTAGAAGTAATTGTAATGTTATTATTATTATAGTTGTAGTAGTAGAAGTAGTAGTGATGGCCTACATACTTCTTTTACACTTTTAAGTCTTATTTATGTTGCCTTTACGTATGAAAAGAGAAATGTCCACTTTGAAGGATTTTAAGAGTTTCTGATGACAACAGCGTAAACAGCGGCGGTCCAACGTACCAACTCCCAGAGTCCCCTCCTGAAACTGTGGTAATTTGCCAGCATCATGATTTATCCAAAAACTCTTCTCATACTTCTTTGTATTCCACCTTTCTATTTTCACATGTACAAAAAAACACCCTGATGAGACAAGAAATCATTATGTACTAACACAACCAGTAGTGCCTCCGGTACACGGACACCAGAGCCTGCAGGATAAACTTTTGTTTGTTGTCCTCTCAATATTGGAATCATTGTTTTTTTTTATCATCCTGACCCGGCACATCTCGGATGTCATCACCTATAATATATGCGATCCTGTCACCATGATGAATGCTACTACAGCTTAAACATATAGATTTTTGTTATACTTCAGTCCGCTCTATTGTTCTCTGGGAGCGGCTAAATCACTTCAGTTTTGCTGAGTAATGTGACATTTGTTTTGGCGGCCGTGGCACGCTAGTTTCAGAGTGAGTTTGAGCAACTTCAAACATCTATTTGGTTTTCAATCATTTACACTGTGAGCTCATTTAGCAAACATTAACATGTTAACAGGGCCTTTATGTTCCTGCTAATACTCATAAACTATTTACTTCTTTGGCTTATATGACACCACGGCCGCTCTATTCTGCAGAGTATATCTCCTGCCAGCAACATTT